AAGCTTTTCCAAGCAGTTTATATATTCCGGAACGAAATTACCAATCATGTTGCTTTGTAGTAGCAATTTTGTTAAATCTGGAAAGGAGTTCTGGCTAAGACAAAGGTTTGGTAAAGCAACCAAATTGTTATTAGAAATAGAGAGGTGTTGCAGATGGTGGCTAACGCCCGTTATGACGCTCGAGATATCGTTATGCGAAACATCTAATTTTTGCAATTTGTCTATTTCGTTAAATACTGTCATATTAATTAGTTTGATTCTATTCTGAGATAAATCCAAGGTTATCCTTTCCGTGGATTTAAAGTCAAGAAAAGTATCATGTGGAATAACTTCTAAAAGATTCCTACTGAGGGAAATCTTGGAGAGTTTGCTATTTCTCTGAAAACTAGAGAATAAATTCCGCAACGAATCTGAAGTGAGTAGATTATCTGTTAAATCCAATAAGTAAACCTGCGATAGATTTTGAAACACATTTTCGTCAATATACCGAATTTCATTATGGTGTAGAGTTATGCTTGATATTTTTGTGTTGCTTATGTTTAAAACTGTAGCTGGGCTGATATAAGGTAAATAATTATACTTTAAGTAGACTGCTATAGTGTTACTGGGAAATTTTGGAATGTAGGTAAGGTTTGTATTATAACAGCGAGCAATCTGATCTGCGCACTTGCATAGTCCGGTTGAACACGCATCCTGAACTGCCACAGATGGAAAACAAAGAGCAATGATCACAACAGCCAACATCTTACATGGATCTACCATCAAAACAGTTCCCTGAAGAAATAAATATTTATTTTCAGGCGGATGATACAGATGAAATGAAATGGGGTTTAACGGCCTTCATATCTCCACCATCCAGGTCGTTGGACAACAGTTTGTAAACGGATTTTTCAAATTCGGTGTAAAGAATTTCGGTCCCGAGAAGACGAACCTTATTGCTATTCAGCTTTCCAAAGCTACGACGCTCCCTTTTACAAAAAACTTGTGAACATGATAGAGATTGAAGTCTTTAATAGGTTTGGATCAAATCTGATGTGCAAATTATAGTCATGAGATGAGGATAGCTCTAAATATTCAGTCGTCTGCAACCTTCTGTTCCGGAGTTACCCCACCCCTTTTACCCGAAACCCTGTACACGTGATAGATGCTTCAGTTTTTAAAGGATTTTTCAAGCTTATGAACACGATAGAGATCAGAGGATCCCTTTATCAAATTTGTGAGGCTGTCGTTTATTTTTTTTTCATTTTCAGTGAAGCCTGTGGTAGTTAGTTTGGTGTGACTTAGAGGGGTTGTCTGTGTGCGGTCCTCCTGCACGTACTATTAGGAGAAGTTTTCATTATACCGTCTACTTATAGCGAATGGCTAATTTAACTGTTTGCCAATTGAATAATGGAACGTGGTTAAATGTCTCGTTATACTTGGCTCATTTCAGAGATAAAGAAATGAAATGGGGTTTGACGTCCTACTGCTCATTGCAGGCTAACTTACACTCATTTTGTTTCTATGGTTTCACGTGCAATGCGAGTGGGGGATTTTACTCTGGCGTTCTCGGTTACTCTTCATTCAACTATATCTACAAGGGGATATTTTACGTGCACTGAATCACCATAACCATTAAACATACTTTTATCGACTCTCAATTAAAAAGTTATCTCAGAAAGTGTTGTACGTCTAACTCTTCTTAAAGTTGTACATCAAGCTCTCAATTTTCGCCTGTGACCTTTGACATCACGCGTGCAGAAATTCCTAATCGTCTGGCTGTTGATTAGGGGAACCCTTACATTTTTGTCCTGTATACGCTCCATAAGTTTTTTTCGGGGAATCCAGTATTTTTCTAGTAAGATTGGATATCTCTACTTTCCATATATACCAAAATTACCATACTTTTATTGGAAATAACCACCCGATAAATCCTTTTCTGGGAACCCATCTTTAACATATAGAAGAGTATAATTTACAATTGAACCATGTTTTAGTTTGCTTACAATGTCATTTATATTGACATTCCACAACACTTGTGTTATCTATCGACGTTGTTATAGGCGTACGGACTCCATGAATGTTAAGGGGGCGGGAGGCAGAACCTGAAATGCGATTTTAAGGAGATTTAAGTTTTTGTGAAACAGGGCCCAGTAGCCTTTTATGAAGGATGTTTCACCGGACTCCTCTTACCAAGATAAATGTATAAATATCAGATAAGTTTATATATAAAATGGTCCCGTGTTGCATAGGCGTACGGGTTTGATCAATGTTAAGGGGGGTGGGTGGCAGAACCTTTAAAGCGCAAAAAGATTTCGGATACCGGTCGTCTGCGAGAGGGGAAAGGTACCATGTACAGCGCCCCCCTCCTCCCCTTAAGAAAGATTATAAACGCGTTTTCCTGCTATTCCAGCCCTTGAATACAGCAACTTCAAAGTGATCTAATATAGCCTAACTTAGGCGGTAGACTCGGATTCCAATCAACTAATCAATCGTTAAGAGTCAACGGACACGAGATCGTCGGGAGAAGTTTTTGAAACGCGTTTTCCTGCTATTGATTTCGGGCATTTTATTTTGCACACTTTACCCGTCGGACCGAACTTTAGTGGGATAGCTGACACCCTTACCCCTCCTCCCCCCGACTCGTACGCCTATGGAAGTGATATGTTCAAAGACAAATTTTCACCTCACAAAAGAGGGCTTAGGTGGCCGAATGGTTAGCGCGTGCACGTTGGCTCGGAAGGTCTGTCATAGAGTCAGGTGTCATGGTTTCGATTCTCCTTTTGACCGTGACAAGGAGTAGGGTCCAACTTCGTGGGTTTTTCCTGGGTCCCCCGGTTTCCTCCCACTGCTAAAGACCCCTTCACGAAAGCAAATTATTGAAATAAAATTGAACGATATGTTAGTCCCGTAATGACCTACTTTGTGTCGCGTGAACGTTAAACCCCATTTCTCTCTCTTTCACTCTCATCCCACAAAAGTTTCAATTCAACATATAAAATCCAATGAAATGACCAATTTTACTTTTGCCCAAATCAAATACGTCTAATCGTATTATTTGTCCCATATATTGCCATATTACGAGATGTAATATACTTACTTTTGCCCAAATCAAATACGTCTAGTCGTATTAGTTGTCCCATATATTGCCAAATTACGAGCGATAATATACTTTAAGCCCTTTCGCTTACACAACTACAACATAACTGATATGAATATCCGGAATAGAAGGTCAACAGTATTAAAAAATATTTTAAAGGTGCAGTATGTAAGATTTAGATAAAGAACTAGCAGTTCTCGGTACAATAATTTTAAAATAGATAATGAAACGGAAATATACTGAAAATTGAAAATTTCAGTCAAAATACATTATTCCTACGAAGTTATGAATGTTGATCAGAATAGTGTAGTCTCGGTTACCATTGCTATTATTGCTATGACAACAAGTAAAGCCTCGATTATCCACTTTTAAATTAAAATATATAAATGTCTAATTAATAATTTATATAACAGAAAGGCTTGCAATATGCAGACATACACAACAATGTAAATCACTTGCTAACTCAATCAGATTAAAATACAGATCTATATTTCGTTTATACTTTCGATGGCCTCTAATACATGAAGATCTGACCAGTTGTATTGGGAGGTCGCGTCAGGGGTCATTCGAGTGGCTTTTGACATGTGACGTCAGACATTCTGATAAACCAATCAGCGTTGATGTTTCTAGAAGGATACCAACAGGCCCTCTGTCCTGCACCACTGACAAGGGGAAATCACGCCGGAAAATCACGCTGAACTTTCTCGGCCAACACCCGGGTCAAAATCGCGACCTCCAGGCTAGCGAGTCAGCGTCTTACTCACTTAGCCACCGTGGCTCCCCTTTGTTTAAGCAAACATGGCTAAGAAAAAGGGGTCCTTATCACTTTTGGTTAAAAAAAGACAAATGTTGTCTGGATTGTTAAAACTATTAAGTCAGTCAGCTTAGCAAGTTGCCCTGGAAGTTCCGGATAAAGTGGCTCTTTTTTTTCTAGATGCTACCCATTGACCTAGCTTTCCAATTTTTCGAAAGCACCAAATATATTATGGTTGCCATCTTGGATCTTCGGAGCTTCCGTGTCTGTAAAAACCTATATCTGCCATTATCCCAGCTTCATTAGGATCACAATCTTGGTGTTGCAATCTGTATTTTCAGGGTCAATAAATACAATTATATAAAAGCCACCACTTTTAAGTGATCCATGACGATGTATGCTTAATCACCAATATTGCGATCTTCAGGGGTTTAAAGGCTCAATACCACTCCTGTTGTAACTGAATAATATGTCCCAATCTTTATTCTGGTCAACAAATTGTACTATTTTACATTATTCCAATTAATTGATGATACGAATTTTACCTAATTTAAAAAATTGGAAAAATTCAACTAAATGATTTGAAAAGTCTGACGTAAAGCTTTTCAAATGTGACTTGGATTTAAAAATATTTTTGAACCCTCTGGACAAGTAAAATAGGATTTAATGGATAATTTACACAACAGGTAAGACACTAACACATGTAGTACTTAGAACAAGGCTATGTTTTATTTTCTGGAGCTGTCAAGCCAGCAAGAGTGTTATTGTCCCTTTAAAAGCTGAAGTTGACCTTACGAAATAGATATAACCTTCAGGAAGTGTTTATCAAGAACTATGGGTGTAACATCTTCGACCCTGGATACATCCTCGGTATCCCTAGTAGTCTCATTCCGTTCTATTCCACTAACCCATGAGGGGGGGGGGACACGTATTCAAGTTATCCGTCCTCGATGATTATGCTATTTTCATCGACCAATCCCATGAATCGTTAATGGCAAAGGAGGTTGGCGAAGGGAAATAAGTCTCATCGGGTAAACTAAGGGAAGCGCAAATGCTCCCCTTCAAGAGACGAGGTTAGGAAAAGCCAGAAGGTAGCCCGATTCTCCTCAAGTGTCCCCAAGCAAAATGATATAAGACCAAATTATGCTAAATGCGTATTTATTAACATCAAATTACAATATTTATATTATATATTAACGCAGACCAGACAGATATTTACATATGTAGATTCAAGAGTTTTATTGAGAATGATATCTGAATTTGGCGTTTTTGTAATGTTGTTGTTGTTGTTGTTAGTGTTTAACGTCCGCTTCCACCGAAGGTGATATCGCAGACAAGTTGTCTTTTTTTTATTTTCATTATCTTAGCGCACGCGCAGGGGTCTTTCCTGTGGGAGGAAACTGGAGTAAACCCACGAGGTTGAGAAGGCGCCCCTATCTCCATGCCACATACGCTCACACCAGGGATCGAAACCACAACCGCAAGCCAGAGGTGACCGGCCAGCTAGAGGTCGAAGCGTGACACCCTAGACCATCCCAACCCCCCTCGTTTTTGTAATAAAAACCCCCCAAAAAACTCATCCTTTATACTCGAGTATCAGAGAGAGTACCCCCAGCGATTGAACCGAACCACTTATTTAGGTAAAACACCATCACACGCCACCAAATTATATTACCAAGTATATCTATAATAATTATAAACATAACAGAATGGTAATAGTTTAGAAACATTTCAGACAAAGAACGAATAGTATTAATTATAACAAAAGTGAAACATATACACGTTATACATATTTGAAATGAGTAAAACACACTACAGATTTTGATAATACAATAAAATATAAATGAATTAGAAATATATACATTATTTACATAAATCATTCAGTAAATGGTCATGATTGGGTTTATTTACCCTTAAAAAAACAAAAGCGAAACGAAAGCCGTTTCATTAGTAAGACTGGTTTGTAAACTATTTTTTTGATTGGTTCGTAGTCTCAAGCTACAATCAAGGTCATAGCAGATAATTTGAAATCATATGGATTAACCCAGGTTATTTTCACATTGGTATTATTATATGGACTGAAAGAGAATCGGTTTTAGGCGAGTGATTTGGCCTTGAATTAGAAATCGGATTCAGACCATATGGTCGTAACAGACTTTAGACACTACACTTATAATCATATAGCTTAGGCCTAACGTTACTTTTGAAATATTATCCACGTTACAGGCGCCTGTGGGGTATAGTGGAGTAGAACGGAATATGATCCACGGGGGAAACCAATGATGCCCACGAGAGACGGATATCCCAGTGAGAAAAACTGAACCAGGGTACTAGTGCAGGTTAACACGTTTGCGTGGCCGACTCGAAAGGATGGCAACGAATCTGAGTTTTCATTCCCTGGTCATGCAAAATTATAAACTATACGCGCCTTAAGTAAACAAAGTATGCATTGTCAACAATATAAATTCAACATTATTAAACAGATGGGCACAATGTGATTTATGATAAAGTTGACATACAAAAGAACATGTTAGTTACGTTAAATATATCGTAGGATTTGCTATTCATTCAAATTCAGCTATTTAAGTAAATGGGGATAATAATACTAATAATATGACTACAGATCACCAGTGATTTCCACGTTGACTTTAACGTTAATTCTTGTCTCTTAGACCGGTCTAACTTTTCCCAAATTGTCGTAGGGTAGAATGCTTTCTACCACTGATGGAGCAACATGTGGAAATCTCTTGCCCAAAAGCACGTGTTGTGTTCATCATGAAAACTTGAGATACACAAACTAGAAGAAGAGATAAATCAACAGGCAATTTTCCACCCTACACTTCAACCTGGCCAACCTCTTAACTCTTGAATCCTTCCGCCTCAAAATCATGAATATTCACCAATACCTGGCAGAAAATGCATATTCAAATCTTTTTGTTCAAATCTACACCAAAAATGCAACAAAGATCGCCATGCAAATGGGGGTGGGGCTGGGGTGGGGTGGGGAGACTAAACTAGCTTTAACCCTTGTATCGTGGGTGACGGCGTAGAAATAATCGATGAGCTGGATCCATATTCATAAGTGTAACATATTATCAAATATCCAGTCCCTCACTATATATATAACTACAGTGACCCAAATCTAATTATAGCTGTTATTAGTCTCGACTATTTAGGCGTCTACAGACTATAAATAAAACAATACTAACAAAATAAAACTAGCTTTGCCACACTATGTCGTACATACATTTTGTCTTTTCGAACAATATCTTATTTTCATTTACATTTTTCACATTATAATCCACGCCAAATGTTCTAAAATTGAAATGTTAACATTTATAGCTGCATTAGGTAAGATTAGATAAAGATCTGACAGTTGTCGCAATAATAGTTAAAACAAGGACAATGAAAAGAAGTCAAATTACTTCACACCGAGCCTAGATATCGGCGATACAAATATAGCATAGCCCCGATTGCAATTACTACCGTAAGCAGAGTCTCGATTATCCATTGTTACAGTAACCGCATCGACCACAAAACGTATTTAAATCTACTTATATCGCAGCCATCCGATGGAATCGAGAGTTGATTATGGCCTGGGTAAGTTAATTAATGTTTAATTAATAATTTATACAACATTTCAGGTCTAAAGAAAGGCCTAAATAAGCAGATTTAGCTCTTGCATAATGCCTGTTTAATTCCGAAAATACTATGAAAATATCAACTGTAGATTATCTACCTGGTTGGATTTAATCAGGTTAAAAAGAGGCCCATCAAAAGATTGATATTGTCTACAGGAGGATGTCAGATTGGTCGAACTTAAACTTCTAGTAATAATATCAAACCAAAACATTCGTGGTGTACAAATTCAGTTAACAAGTGATATTCCATTTCTGTATTCGAACATCAGAAATGGATACAGTCTCAGATTGGGTTGAGTGGGGTTCTTGTATCGTTTGAACTACGGACCATGAAACGACTGCGGTAAACAGATCAATGACCTTTAATCTTATTATAATTCATATTGACGTTTCAGCGATGTTTTTAACATTTGCCAAAATATATCTTTGTTGTCATTATCTTGCCATTTGATATAAGTAGTAGTTTTCAATAGAGCGTTCAGTGGTTTACTCATATTAACTGCTTCAATATCCTCTAGTAATACTACTACTATAGACTCTATACTCGTATCTATAACCAATTTCTGAGCTAAACTCATTTCAAATTGACACCATTTACTTCTAGCAAAATCATTGGACAAAACAACAAGAACTTTACGACTGTTTTCCATGTGTTGTAGAATATTATCAATGACCAGTTGTCCACCAAGAAAATCTCTTTCGTGGATACACAACTTAATGTGTTCGCCTTCTTCCACGATAGGTAGAAGATCCTGTAAAACCCAGTCCCCATCTTGTACACAGTAAGCTACAAAGGCGTCATGAGCAAAGTGTTTCTCTGCAATATCCAGCAGCTGTTTCGGTCTGTATCTCCACATATAAATATGATATTTAATATGCCAGATATATTTGTTGATAACAGAAGCGATCAAAATAACACAGATAAAAAAACATGTTACTGTTGTCACAGAGATAAACGCTCCGGTGTTATTCAAACAAATTCTCTCCGTTATATTCAGACATCTATAGCCGTCCGGATAATCCCAAAACTTGGATGGTTCCTTATGAATCCACTGAATCAACCAAACCAATTCACACTTACATACGAGCGGATTATCATTTAAAGATATTTTTTTCAATCTTGTCATAAACACTTCAGGCAGCATTTTACTTGTAACAGTCTGAATTAAATTATGGGCTGCATTTAATTCTGTCAATTTAATGTTCCTTTCAAAGAACTCAGTTGGCCAGGATTTAATCAGATTCCAGCCAACATCTAAATAAGTAAGATTATGATAATGTCTGGTGACAGTAGGTAGGTTCTGTAAATTACAATCCAACAGCATCAATACTTCAAGAGATGTCAGAGGGGCTAGCGTTTTATTTAGTTTTTCCTCCATTTTAAAGAAATTACTTTTAGACAGATCTAGTTTTAGTAACCGATCCAATCCACAAAATGCATGTTCATGCAGGCGGTTAGTAGTCAATGTGTTCTTTGATAGGTCTAGACTTAGCAGTTTGCTGTTGTTGAACGCACGTTCCTCTATATAAAATGTTCTACCCTGTTCTGAGATAGACAACGAGCTAAGAGACTTGAAAGAATGAAAATAATCAGTTTTTAATGAGTCAATGTAGTTTGAACTCACATCCAAGATTTTAAGCTTTTCCAAGCAGTTTAGATGTTCTGGAACGAAAGTACCAATTATGTTGCGTTGTAGTTGCAATTTCATTATCTCTGGAAAGAGGTTCCGACGATAACAAAAGTTTGGCAAAGCAGCCAAACTGTTATTAGAAATAGAGAGGTGTTTTAACTTTTCCAAACAATTAAAATATTTCGGAACAAAATTACCAATCTTGTTGCTTTGTAGTTGCAATGTTGTTAACTCTGGAAAGGAGTTTCGACGAAGACAAAAGTTTGGTAAAACAGTCAAACTATTATTAGAAATAGAGAGGTGTTGCAGATGGTGGCTAACACCCGGTATGACGGTGGATATTTTGTTATTCGAAACGTCCAATATTTGCAATTTTTCTATTTCGTTAAACACTGTCATATTAAGTAGCTTGATTCTATTCTGAGATAAATTCAAGGTTATCTTTTCCGCGGATTTAAAGTCAACGAAAACATTATGTGGAATATATTCTAAGCGATTTCCTCTGAGACTTATCTTGGATAGATTGCTATTTCTCTGAAAACTAGAGAATAAATTCCGTAACGAATCTGAAGTGAGTAGATTATCTGTTAAATCCAATAAGTAAACATGCGATAAATTTTGAAACACAAATTCGTCAATATTCTCAATTTCATTATGGTGTAGATTTACGGTTGATATTCTTGTGTTGCTAATGTTTAAAACTGTAGTTGGAGTAACACGGGGTAAATAATTATATTTAAAGTAGACTGCTATGGTGTTATCGGGAAATTTTGGAATGTAGGTAAGGTTTGTATTAGAACAGCGAGCAACACGATGTGCGCACTTGCATAATCCGATTGAACACGCATCCTGAACTGCCACAGATGGTAAACAAAGAGCAAGGATCACAACAGCCAACATCTTACATGGATCTACCATCAAAACAGTTTCCTGAAGAAAAAAATATATTTATTTTGAGACGGTTGAATTAAAATGGGTTTGTTAACGCAACGACGTGAAGTCAACATGTGGTTGGTTTGTTGTTCGTTATTTACAAGATATGGAATTATTAATATAATACAGGCACTACTGTGGGGAATACAGACCGGGAGTGGGTTTTTTATGGTTTATAACACATCAAGGTCTTTGAAAATAGATTCTTACAAGCTGTCTTTCTATAGCAGTGGTTCACAACCTTTTTTTGCCAACGGCACACCTTCGGACACATGAAAAAATAGCGGCACGCCTGTCTAAATATATATGAAAAATATTTGACTTTTGCAAAATAAAAACATGTTAAGTCAGACGGCATACAATCATGATAGACAGAGACAAGTCATAGACACATAGAATGACCCAAACTAAATAAAGAAATACACAGCTATGAACTTATCGGTAGACATTCAAGGCCGATCAGATGGTTTTTCGCATTTAATTAATGTGCCTGTGTATAGAATCACTGTTCTATAGGATAGTAACGAACGAGCTAGTTTGCTGTTTGTTATTAGCGTTAGTTTCCAGCTTGTGAATATGATAGAAATGAAATTCTTTGAGGAACCCTCTTATCAAATGGGATCAATATCCATGCTATATTTGGATAAGCTGCTTTTTGGAAACTTTTTTTTTCTTTGGGCTCTCTTGTATTTGTTTTTCATTTTGAGTGAAACCTGTGTAATTAATAGAGACTTTTGGCAAGCGTACTTTCCTGGTCCGTATCGCGTATCCGTATGGATTTTGCGTGTGACGTCATCAATGTGTGTGTATTTCTCATACGTGATACGGCACACGCATACGGCAGCTCGTATCGAAAAGCTTTCATACGATTAAGGTCCGTATAACATCGTCGTCTTTTTGCCGTCTTTTTTGCTACTTTTAGACGCTGAAATGTTGTATCATAGCGTTTTTATGAATCTATGTGTATCCTGGAACACGAAGGTGTATATTTGATGTGATTTTAACCGTGATAACGACTGGAATTTAATCATTATTTTTGATGGGTTTTTCTCGGAATTTTCATATTTTTACCATCTGTGTGCATGCTGGTTGATCTACGTGCTAATTTTAGGGAGGCGGGACCTTGCAAATCTGTAAATTATTTTATTCTATGGTAACGGGGTATGAACTTTCTGCGATGATACATTAGTGAAACCAAAAATTGACGTCGAGTCGAAGTCGAAGATTTTAATAAGATTCGACATTAAAAATGTTTTAATAGCCGTGCGGCTGTCGAGCGACATTACACCCTCCGGGAAATTGTAGGCTAGGCATTTGACCAGTACAGGTGGTGATGCTGTAATAGAACTTACTCCAGCTCAGCCACGCGAAAATCTGCCAAAACTCTAAAACTTCATTGACGCAACGTATCACATATACCATACGGATACGTGATACGGATGGGAAAATTCCGATTGCCAAAAGTCTCTAATGAGGCTTGTTTGCGTGTACGTAGTGGGACCCCGCTGCACTTACTATTACGAGACGCTTTTAGCCAATGTCAAATTTAAAGGGGCATTATATAAGATTTAGATACAGAGCTGACAGTTCTCGCTATAATAGTTAAAAACATGGATAATGTAATGGGAATTTGTTTAAAATTTCAGTCAAATCACTCCATTCTGAGCCAAGTTACTGGCATTAGAAAAACAGTGTAGACTCGATTGTCATTGCGTAACAATGCGTAACGCATTAAATGGCCTGACGATTCGTTTGATAACGATGAGAGTTTTTTTTTCTCTTATACTTGAATTTTACTTATATTATTTATATATAACATTTAAGGCATAAAGATCTACAATAGGCAGATTCAGCTCTTGAATAATATCCCTTCAACTGATTGCCGACTGAATAATGGAAACAAGTTAATTGTCTTGTCGGCACTTTATAATGAAAAGGGTTTAACGTCCTACTGTTCTACTCCGCCCGGACTCATTGGGGACTAACTAAAGCTGCATTTCCTTTAGTACGGCTCCGGTCCGGCCCCGGTCCGGTTGCGGATACGGAAAAAAACACTTTCATAGAATTTTAGTAAGAGTGTTTCCTTATGTGCGGGTGTGGATACGTTTCTGTATGCGGCGTCCGGTACGGTTTTTCGAAACGGACCAGGTAGCGTTCGGTACGGAAACGCATGCGGAACCGTGTCCGTAAACGCACATAAGGAAACACAGTTTGGGTAGCCCGCACGGGAAAAAGCTAAAATTAGTTTTTTTCTTCTTTTACGAACCTTGACAATGCCGGTGCCATGTTGAAAAGAGGGGCCTTCGTCTTGAATAACCGCATAAAAGGATACACAACCTGCCGTGTGCTATGTCTACGGTACGGAAATGCAGCTTTACACTCATTTTGTTTGTTTGGTTTCACGGGCTATGCGAGTGGGGGAATTTTACTGTGCTCTTCATCCACCTATATCTACAAGGGGATATTTTACGTGCACTGAATCGCCATAACGATTAAACATACTTTCATCAGCTCACACTTGAAAAGTAAAAACGAGGCTTTAAAGGGACAATAACACTCTTGCTGGCTTGACAGCTCTAGAGAATAAATAATAGCCTTATTCTAAGTACTAGATGTTTAAGTGCCCTACCTGTTGTGTAAATTATCTATTAAATCCTATTTTACTTGTCCAGAGGGTTCGAAAATATTTTTAAATCCAAGTCACATTTGAAAAGGTTTACGTTAGGCTTTTTAGATCATTTAGTTGAATTTTTCCAATTTTTTGAATCAGGCGTGTTAAGATAAAATTTGTATCACCAATTAATTGGAATATTGTAAAATAGTACAATTTGTTGACCAGAATAAAGATTAGGACATATTATTCAGTTACAACTAGAGTGGTATTGAGCCTTTAAAAATCTCCAAAGTCAGTTAACACATACAAGAGTATAATTTATTCAATTTTATTGAACAATGTTTTAGTTGGTAATGTCATTTATATTTACATAACACATCGACGTTATCATAGGCGTACTGGGCTCGATAAATGTTTTAGGGACAGAACTTAGCGTGAATCGTGAAAGTGGGTACCTTGCGTGAAGACGGTTGTATAAACATTTTTTTCTATCGTAACACCTCACTGGTTTGCACGAATAAAATGAATACTAAGACTAAAATAGATATTTGAGTAACGTCCTTGTTGAATAAGTATGCTACTGTCTTAACCGTCATAAATTTTAAACGGATTTCATCGATTATGAACAAACTACTCTACTTTGTTTATTATAAATTTACCTGTGTGTTTGAAATTACCTCCGGTTAAATAAAATCCATTGTTAGGGTGACCCACCATAAATAAATATCTCCAAATATCTCGACAATTACGCCACAATATTTATATATATGACAAGCCTCGAATCAGTTTCACACAATTATAGTCACTAAATAAACGATCATGTTGTACTTAATAAGCTATGACCATTAATCATCTATAAATAATAGACTGAAAACTGGTTCCAAGTTGCGTCCATAACATCCAGACACTTTTGAGTAAAAGATAGGTTACGTGCCCTTGTTTTGAAATTAGTCTCGCTTAACCAGTCTATCGACCATTCTACGTCTGATTGACAGGTCGGGATAATCAAGACTACTTTTTTACGAAACATAACAGAAAGCTAGAACAAGAAATTGAATTTAGAAATAAGCACTTTAGACAACTCAACAATTGTTTTAAGAAACTTGTAAAAGTAAAATGAAACTACTGCTAGTATCATGTTCCTGCTAAAGAAAGTGATTCAGAGATAGTATTTGTACTAAACCAAAAGATGCCGCTCTTAACGGTACAGTTAATGATAAAGCAATTTAAAAAATAAAACAAACGTAATTACTAAAGATGCTGTAATAACCAAGAAGCTAAATTTTACTGCTATTCAAAATCGTCAACAATAGATTTTTTACGGCTGTAATAGTTGATATATTTGTAGAGAATTGCACGTGCCATGGCTATTTATCGACTCAAAGCGAGTGCGGGGTAGTCAGAAATCAGTTCGAGACACGCAACTGAAGCGTGCACATTTAGCCGTGTCGAGACCAACTTTCTGTAAAGTGCACGGGTCATCCTACCATTGTACAACTAAATATCCAGGCTAATAAAAAAGTTCTCTCTTGTTAAATTGAACTCGTCACAAACTTTGACATCGAGAAATACAAAAATGGAAGCTAATTACGTCACATAACGGGATATATCATTTCATATAAGGGGGCCGAAGCAAGGCTTGTCTATCGTAACGGTGTTTGGCTCTGTTACGACAGTTGTATGAATAAGCTATTGCTCTCGGACCCAATAATGAGTTTAGGCGTTTACAAACATAAATACGCCCATAGTCCGTTATTTTGTTTCCGTCTTGTGTTAATTATTTGGTTAGAGAATTGGTGGGATTATTTCTTTTGAACACAGGTGAAGAACAAAAAGAACGGCATTCGTTTTAAGGGTCCTGAATCTCACCCTTGAATATCTTAAATATTTCCTGATGAACTTAAAGGGACAATAACACTCTTGCTGGCTTGAAAGCTCCAGAAAATAAATAATATCTCTATCTATGTACTAGATGTTTAAGTGTCCTACCTGTTGTGTAAATTATCCATTACATCCTATTTTACTTGTCCAGAGGGTTTGAAAATATTTTTAAATCGAAGTTTCATTTGAAAAGGTTTACGTTAGACGTTTCAAACCATTATGTTGAATTTTT